AACCCCAGATTTTGTTGAAGCCTTTCGAGTTGCAATTATGATTTATAATAACATTTTAAATTTCTAAGAAATTTCTATGTAGTATCAAACTTTAGATGCTTATCATTATTATTTTTGCTTATAGTTCTATAATGACTTTTAAATCGATCTGTGTTCGAACAAACATCCTTGAGCTGCTTACGACACGTCACCACTGCAAGCATTCCAATTCGACCAGCTAATATCAGCCTCTTTTTTCTTTTTCATTCTATGGACAGGTTATCTTCAGCTATTAATATTATGTATCAATTATTTGGTTCCACTTCTCACGTGAGGGACAATTGAATAGTTTCATATATATATATGTGTGTGTGTGTGTGATGAAAAATAGTTCCAGTATAAATAAATACAACAATGCTATTCTCAGCCACCACTTAATTCTGATAAGGTTTTCATGAGAGATTAAATTATAACAAATTTTAAAATACATACTAAAATGTTAGAATTAAAATTTATGAACTATATATATATAATTAATTAATTAATCATTTATGCAACTTTTGGTGATACATCGTATAAAAAAAGTCACATCACACTTGTGATTCGCAAAAAAGGAACTTTGAGGTTGGAGTTAAAAGAAGGCAGCAAACTTAGCGCCAAAAGTAGAATACAACAAAAAGAAAGACATTGTGTGGTCCTTGGGATGGGGAATTGGATTCCATTGAATCACATTCTCATATGGTTCTTCAAGTTCTTGGCCAGAACCATAAGTGTGAGTGAAAATTGATTACACTTCAATCCCATGAAACGATAGAAATAAGCCAAACACTTTGGGAATTTATAATACAATCAATACCCACCTACCCTTTGTGTTCTTGCTTATTGATTCAAGTTCTATGTACACTCAGTTTTAACATTAAGCTACCAGAGAGCCAACATTATTGTCATTCTGGCTTTCCCTCTTGCAGCTGATCGGATCTTCGACAGCGACACCTTGCGCGCCGAAACAGAAGTACTGGTTCATCAACATCTTTCTGTTGAAGGAATCTTGTCTCAACTTTGTACTTGGCACTTTCCTTTTGGAGCAAGAGACTCCATCAATGCCGGTTGACATTGGAGATGACACGGGAGTCCCCGCCAAGGTACTCGATAGCGATCGGGCTGGAACTGCTAACTTCGGTGTTGCTTGGATAACGCCGTGCATCAGTCCAGCAGCAAACCTTTTCCTGGTTGAGGGGCTTGGAGAAACGGTCACGGCTGGATGTGTTCTTCTGTTGTGTGAAAGGCACGAAATGTCTGAATATTGACGTCTAAGTGAAACTTGGTTTGGTTGTGAAGTTCTTGATATATCACACAGCTCTGAACAATAATCATCTATCCAATCTGTTCTGGCAGGCTTTTTCTCTTTACTCTTAGGCCATCCCAAGAAGAAGTTCAGCCGTTTCGTCGTATGATTTACGGAGGTTGGCTTCTTGTTTGATGAATCAAATGAATCGCATTCGACATTGGAGCATAAATCGAAGTCCTCATCTACTAGATCACGAGTTGCATCCGACACGTTTTCGATGCCTGTGTACAAGAATATCTCTGCATCTGGAACTCTGAAAGAAGTTCCAGGACTGCTTCCAATGCCCTGCATTTTCAAATGGGAAACGAAAGCATTTGTTGCCATATTATCACGACGACTCGAGATCCCTCCAGCAGAAACAAATCGTTTGATCAGAATCTCCAAAGACGGTGATCGTGGCTGTTGTTCGAGAAGATCAAGAGGGGTCAAGCCATCCTCATCAGTAATGTTCAAGTCTATTGATGGCACAGACATAAGCAGCTCCACCAAATCACACTGAACATTCTTTGTTACCGACACGTGAAGCACGGTTTTTCCATCATTGTTCCTAATGTTGATGATCTCTTTTACGTTCATCAACTCGACGTGTATCAGATGCTCCATGAGCTCGATCTGCCGGTCTAATCTTCTAAAGCCAGAGGTTCTAAAACCAGCAACAGCCAGATGAAGAAAAGTATCTCCATGGGAGTTTGACAGAGAAGTTAAAGAGGGAGAATCATGAATCAAAAACTCCACCACAGCCAAGTGACCCATATATGCAGCCACATGCAATGAGGTGTTTCCTTGATCATCAGTGCTTGAAATGATATCAAAGGAAGCCACCAGATTCTTCACTACCTGCAAGCACAATTATCAAAAACAATCTATAGCAGCTGGAGAAACGATGAAATCCAATCAAACGCAGAAAACTCAGCATGGTTTTAGACAAGAACAAGAAGAACAAGAAGAACACAAAACTCCAAGATCTGACCTCAATCTGTCCTCTTGCAGCAGCTGTATGAAGAATGGTGGATCCCTGAGCGTCCCTGTAAATCAGAACATCAGGGCAGTCCCCAATAAGCTCTGTCATGATCACCAAATTCCCTCCTCTAGCAGCACAATGAATAGCCCTGTTCATCATTTCCCATCTGAAAGCTGAAGGCATTTCCATTTCACTTTCACTCGATTCCTCCATTGTTCCCTCTCCAGGACTTGGGCAACACCTCAAGGAAAGAGCAAAATCCAGCAAAAGCTTAAAAGCCTCACAGTTCTTACTCCTGGCTGCAGCATAAAGAATATCAGTAACACCATATTCTCCTTCTCCAAAAACCAGAAGAGGGTCTTTCTCCAGGAGCTCCATTACAAAATCCATGTCCCCAGCTGAAGCAGCTGTGTACAGAAGCCAGCCGCCATAGCCAGCACGAATGAGAGAATTTTTGCCCCCTTTAAGCTCACCTTCGAGGAGGAGCTTTCTGGCAACATAAGAGCGGCTTTTCGCCACATCTTCAAACTGAGCTTCATCGTCCCACACCGTTTCAAGGCGGCGGATACGGCGGAGAGATGTGAGTTTGATGAGAAGATTGGGGTCTAAATGGAGAAGCTCTCTAACAATGTCGTAAAACCCATTGGCTGCCGCCCAATCAATCGGCGTAGCGTACCACCATTGCTCGCCTGTACTCTCCCAACGAAGAGGGAAGAACAATGGAGGCATTTTGATCAAAACCCACCTACAAATGATTGAGATAAAATCGAATAAAGAAACAGAGCCAGAAAGTGAAATTTTCAGAGGAAAACGAAAAGGAAAAAGACCCAAATATGGATTCCTTTTCAAAAAAGGGAATTCAGGGAAAAGTAAGATAGGCTGAGCTGGTCGCAATCTTGAATCAAACCAACAGCAAGAAGAGACGACCCATTATGATAACAAGTAAAACAAAGGGATTGGAGAAAAAGATGGTGCCAAATCTCTTCGAATGAATCCAAGAAGCTCAAGAAATGGCGGAGAAATGAGAGTTCAGCAGCGAAACTAACAAGAAAATGACAATGATGAGGATTTTATTTGGAGGGAAATGAAAAGTTGAGATAAGGATGCCTCGAATTCCTTTGAAGATTCCGCTGCCTCGTGACGGTGAGCAGTAAATTAAGCACAAAAAGAACGAGAGAGAGAGAGAACGAGAGAGGATTCAACTGTTCAACCGCCTTTGTTGAAGATGACAAACAGACAGCTACCAGAAACCAACCATCATTGGAAATTAAAAACAATTTTGTTCTTTTTTTCTGTTTGGGTTTTGGCTGTGGGAATCATTCATGGATGTTCTGAAAAAGGAATTGAAACTGAAGCTTGTTGGTGGTGGCAATGGTAATGGAATGAACACTAATTTAAATTCTGCAGAGACATGTGGAGGAGGAGAGTGGGTCAGCCATGTTCTTGCTGATTGCTAAGAACTCACTACTATGGCATTTCATGGTGGTGAGACAACAAAGGTCTGTGAACCATTTCCAATAAAAGATCAAAAAAATATTCTTTTGATGTAAAAAGAAAAGTGCACATTTAAAAATTTGACTTTTTTTTTTTTTTCTTCCCTTTTTTGCATTGCTTTTTGATTAAAAAGTGGAAAAAAAAGTAAATTTGAATCAGTAAAATTATTGAATATTACCAAAAGTATAACCATTTCTGTAATTTGAACACTTTTTTGTTCCCATTCCATGTATAAACAAACAGAAGGGATTTACCTTCATCATGTGATTTTAATTAATTAAAAATTTTAAAAAGGAAAAAAAAAAAAAAAAAAAAGATAAAGAGCCATATGTAGCACATGGTTCTGCGACATTGGATCCATAAATCTTCAACAAATCCAGACTCTGTCTTTTGTGAAGGTTTTTTTGAAAATGGAAAGAAAATCTACCCGCATATATTAGTTAAGTTATAGAGTGAGTAGATTTATCTTCCTCTTAGTATATGAGTATATATCCTAATTAATTGAGCTATACTACCATATGACTACTTCTCAGTAAAAGGTACGTTTTAACCAATTGAGTTATACTCTCATTTGGTCTTCATTGTCTTTCTTCCTCCGCTGCACAATTCTTCACATACATTCTCTTCTCACTGCTGCCATGGCCTCTGCCAACAGATGGTTAAAGCCTGAGGTTTCTTTCTTTTCCCTTTCATTTTCCATTACCTTCTGTTTGGCTGCTGAGAAAACCATAAAGAAAACAAACAACTTTACCAACCAAATGTTTATTTCCTTGAATGTATATTTGCAGGTGTATCCTCTCTTTGCTGCAGTTGGTGTGGGTGTTGGCATCTGTGGGATGCACAGCTTGTTAGAAACATAACCACCACCAACCCTGAAGTCAGCTAAATATTTCAAGTTGTACAAAATATGAGTGTATAATGAATGAACATGAAGGTGAGAGGTATGAATGAACATGTCCGGGTTATCAAACAGAAGAGAGCTGCAGGAGTTCTTGATAACTTCGAAGGTGAGAGGTATTGAAAGCATGGCCTTAGAAAGTTCCTCAAGAACAAGACCCCTCAGATTATGCCTTCCATCGACAAATTCTTCTCAGATCCAAACTAAACACAATTCTGTTACTGACCTTTAAACATAATGATCCACTAATAAGCTGTTATAATCAAAAGATGGGCTCAGTTGTGCGGCAGCAATAATCTTCAGCTTGGTTGAAGGAACAATAAAAGTAATGGTATCGCTTCACATATATGTATTCCATAGACACCCTCTAAAACATGCATTCTCTGTACAGATACTGCCAACAATCCATATTATATACACAGGGAGAAGATAACCTGTCAAAATTGCACAAGCAGAGTCTGTGCACAAACGCCATAGTTGTTTGCATGGATGGATTTAGTGTATGGATTACAAGTAAAGACGGAGTACTAAAACCAAGTCCCACAATCAAGGGGGCACTGAAGCCAAGATTCTTTTAACATATTGGCATAATTGTGCACTTGCTCAACTTACACCGCGGTATAATGCACCAGGACGTAGATCATCCATATTATCGATGTTTCTATACCCATCAAACTCCCGAAGGCATGTCCAGGCCCGACGAGCTAAAAATTCTCGGTACTCATCTTCAGTGTAAAATATTTTTTCTTCAGTATGTACTGGTAAGTGGTCAGATTCATCATAGAGGCAGATTTTAACAGCCAACCCTGAAATTAGAAGTTCAACTGCTCTTACATGCACTACTTTGCCTAAAATCCGCAGCTTGGTGCTATAATGTTTACAAGAATCATAACAGTCAATGCAAACACAAGAATGGGTACCTTCATCAAGGTGAAGAGTGTAGTTTCCTAAAGGCATGTCCCTGTCTAGACTTCTGACAACCTGGTCCTCATCCTCTAACCAAAATGCACGTTTAGTTCTCAACCTAAATGCAGACTTGATTGCCTCCTTGATGGCTTCTGAGGTGCCATCAACACCGATTCTTCTTGTGTAGTCTCCCCACTTGACTGTTATAACTCTCCCGCCAAATGCCTGACCTTCCCCACCTGCCAAGAAGGTGGTAAATAGACAGAAACTGGAACGATTAAAGGTTCAAAAGCAGCATGCAGCTCAAACAAGGGCAGGATTGGTTTTTACAAGAGACCCTCTGAGTGACACTCAGAAGTGAATCTTCTTGCCCACATATTTGTTTAATCCAAATGATGGGTCAAACAGTAATTAAGATATGCGTATAGCCACCAACTACAAAGTTATGTATCATCATATAAGGGGGACCTGTGACAATGTGTTCAAAATTGTAGTTTCCAAAATACTACAGGCTTTAGCAGCTGAATCGTGAATGGAATCGAAAAGAATATTTTAAAAGAAAAAGGCAGCTTTAATATAGAATTATATTGAGTGAAATGCAAAGCCGAATCTTAATACCGAGATTGCTAATGCGTAAACTCAGGGCCTAAACCTACAGGAGTATAGCTATAGTCTAGAAAGTAATGTCAACACAATATTCAAAATGGTTGAGTAGTGGTTCCGCAATACTACCATTTCCGGGTGCCTCTCTCCAATTCCAAGGTGGGATGCCTGTTGCAGCAACTGCATCAGCTGCTGTGATGGCAAGGGGATGCCCATCGTGATCCAGCTGTCTTTCAAGATTGAGTGAGGGCCTGCCACCAGCTGCATGCAAGGAAACTTAGGAAAAAACTTTTTTTCTTGTTTATATTAAGAACGTGGTCTAAAAATTGAATTTCCACTAAAACTTTTTTTCTTATTTCCAATCTCATAATCGGAAATTATGAACTACATGAAAATAAACTCACAGTAGAGATTACACTTTATTCATCAACAGTAAACTTTTGCGATAAAAAATCTTTAGTACATACTAAATCAATTTGAGGGGAGGGGTTATTTAGACAAGATATATGATGTGGTTGCACCTAGAATAGAACAGAATTCAATCTTCCAGGTGAACAAGAAATTCAAGAAACTCAAACAAAGATGTAACTCGACCGTTCTCTAATTTTATAACCATCAATTTGGTCACATGAGCATTGAATTAAAATTTTCACCGATAAGACCAAAAAAAAAAAAAATATGGGTTTATTTGTAACAACTGAACTGTTCAAAAAGCAACACTTCAAGTTCTGTAGGCTAGGAGTCTCAATCAGATACCAGGGATAATGTAATATGCCAAATAGGCCTGAAAGTTGACAGTGATGAGACTAATACTTAATTGACATTACCCAAATGGTTGCTTCGTCAACAGGCACAACAAAAGTGAGATGTGCTGAACATATTTTCATAAACTGAAAAATTATACCCTGGACATAGGAACCAATTTTAGATGCACATAAAAAATTAATTGCATGGCATATGCCTCGTTCAATCAAGACATGTTCTAAAGCAGCTAATGAGTTTATTCTATATCTATACAGAATCATAGGAATTCTAATCATGGTATGATTCTATTGTGCAAGAGATCCACCAGCTTAGAACGTGCTACAACCGTTGATATGATCCTCGTTGTACTATCAGTTCTGTCCTTTTCTTCCTAGTATGCCAAGAATTCAACTTTTAGATAGTGTCACTCTTGAAAAATGCAAACTAGAAATCTCAAGTTTCCACAGGCAGTTTTATAATTATATGTGGTGCATACTAGAATCTCCCTCCACAATTAAACAGCAAATCCACTGGTGTGATTTTCTTTGCCATTCTCTATCCCTTCTAGAAAAGTAAAAGTTGAATGATGAATGCTAGCAACTATCATCAGCCACACAAAAAAACTCAAAGTTGAATGATGAGTGCTAGCAAATATTATGTGAAGAAAATAGTAAAACAAATAACATTAAAGTAACAGCAAATAACAAGTATATCGTACCTTCGACAGGTCCAAACGATAGAGCATTATCCTCAATTCCTGCAATGGGATAAAATTACAATGCTTGTCACAGTTCTCTTGTAACCCCAAAACCAGACTAATCACAAACCTACTGCTCCTACTATTTGCACATCATATTTCACGAACCTAACTAACTTAAAGACAATTTTTTTTTTTTTACCTGATTAAGGAAAGAAAACAGAAAAACAAAGATGATTCCCCACCCCCCGAGAAGACTAAGAACAACAAAATAAAGAATCACTTTAAATTTCTACACTACTAACGTCAGTTCAGATGGATATATCATTTCCAAATCCAGATATCTTCATATATACAGCTGAACCCTTTTAGGGATGATATCCTAGTACTATAATTGTTCATAAATCAGAACACAGCGTGTTTGAAGGAACAAGTTTGCGGAGAATTGTAACATTAAGGTATTGCTAAATAGTGAAAGTAGACCTAAAGTTTGTGGGTGATGAATTTTCCTGAATATTGAGATTCGCCGCATAACACCATCCCATTCACCCTCCCAATGCCAAGAATCGAAGGTTACCTTTGTCTGAGAATTGTATGTAGGAATCAATCTTGGGCGGCGTAGGGCTCTTGTACTGCGCATTTTTGCTTCTCTCCTTCAAAATTTCTTCAATCTCCTTGTAATACGACATCTTAGCAGAGCCACTTCCCCTGTCGTGGTGTTTAGCCTTCTTGAACTCCTTGAGCAAGTTCCTCCACTTATCAGTACACATAGTCGGAGAGCGATCAAAGCCTCTTTCCCTCATCTTAGCCGATATCTGCTCCCACAAATGCTTGTTCGATTTCGAGGTATTGAACAATCCATCCATCCCCCTCCGTAGTGAAATTAAGCTTCTCGTCTCATCCTGAACCCAAGTCTCCGCCCGCTTCTTCGGCGCCTTGACTTCATGATCCTCACCACTGCTATCGCCGAGCATCATTTGGTGCTGCTGATGAGTCTGTTGTGGCTGATGAGGTTGAATATGATGGTCGCCATTAGAAGCCACCTCGATCATCATATCTCTGCTGCCTTCTTCTTTGTAAATATCGATTGGTCGAGGCTTATCAGACAAGTACATACCTCTGAATCAGGGGATTCCGTCAAATTTCGAGGAAGATGGGAGTTGGAGGGGGTTAGGATTTAGGAGCAGTGGGTTGAATTTCCATTTCTCTTCAACTTTCTGGGACTGTGAGCTCAGACTGAGTCGTTGCAGGTCCGTAGACCGTAAGTCTGAGGGTTGAAGCCAGTGAACAGGGAAAGCCAAAGAGGCGAAGGTCGCGTGTGATGCCGGAGAAACAGGGAATAATCGTACGGATAAAAAAGTAGAAATAGAGAAATTATGAATTTTTATGACTTTTTTGGAATTTAGGATTTCTTTTTTTCCTTTTATTATTATTATTTTCTCTAAATTTGATTTAATCCATATTACTCAAATATCATTAATCACTATTATCATATTATCATACAAATATACAAATAATATTTTTTGATGCGAGTATAATATCATATTATTGGTATATTATTTATTTATTTTATTTATTAAGAGGGTAAATAATTTTGAATCTTATGTTGATAATTATTGGGAGTGAGTCCAACATTGGTTAATTTAGTGAAACATCAAGAATTTATAAGTGAGGAATATGAAGCCTCTGGGAAAACCCAAAGCACCATTAGTATGAAGCCTCCGGGAAAACCCAAAGCACCAAGCAAAGCTATAAGTGTTTTTTTTTTTTTTTTTTTTTAAAAAAAAAAGTAAATATCTAAAATTTTGATATTAAGAAAATAAATCATGTAATTATACTCACTTTGGCATTGGCATATGATGTTATTGGACCGATCTGTTTAATAAATTTAGATTTAAAATAGACAGTAAATTGGCATTTAAATTAAATGGTTAATAAAAACTTAATGGAAATATAAAAATAAAAAATAAAAAACAATTTTATAATTAAAGCAATTTAATTAATGAGATAGAAATTACATTATTGAAGCCATTGACCAAAAGTTATATTATTTTTTTGTTTTAAAAAAATAATAATATATATTAGAAACCTTATCTTCTAAATAATGTCCCAAGCGAGATTTGCAGACGGCCCAAAAGTTGAGAACTTCTAATCAAAATTTTGTGTAGAAAAGAGGCCCGACCCTGGTTTGCACCGGCGGAAGAAACCCTCGATTCAATTTACTTGCACCGGCGGAAGAAACCCTAAACCCACCATCTACGCAATTACCAGCTCGAGCTTCAAGTTTCATTTCTATGGCGCTTCTCTCCTCTATTCTATAATCTGCTAATTGAAGGATGAAGCTCGCTGCGGTCTCCTTTTCTCAATCTGGAGCGTCTCGAAGTTTTCTTCATGCAGATTCCTCTTTCAATCGATTGCCGTGCGTCGCTTCATTTTCGGCTCGTCAAGTTGATGCATTCAGCTCAACTTCTCGTTCGGGTACTTTATCAAACACCTTATCTGCTACTCGTTTCCTGTTATTGTATGTATTTTGATTCGGTTTCGGGCTTACGCTTGGGTTTCCGTTTCAATATTCAGATGGTTTTTCTTCTTTTTCTCTGTCTCTATCTTCTACTTCATGAAGATTAGAAACAAGTTTTTCAGCTTGGCATTCTTACTGTTGGCGCCCTTGTGATATCATTTTCTTTTTCAACTTTCTGTTCTTGAAAGTTAATCTTGTTATCTTCAACTTCGCACTTACAATTTTATGTCTAAAATCATTCATGAAATTCGAATCAAAGTTTTCTAGGGCTAGAGAAACAGAAAGAAAGTACTATACATAGAGTTCATTTCTTGAAAAGAGCTAAATATATATCTTGGATTTATCATTTGTGAATTTGAAATTTATAAACTCTGCATTGTCCTTGGGAGAACTTCACGCATTTGGTAAAAATTTGATTGCTTATTGCATCCGAAATTGAAGTAAGTCAGTTCTTGAAGAGTTGAGAAGATTCCTTTCACTGTTTTGGATTGTTTTCTTGCATGCCAAGTCGCTTTGCTTTCAGTAGAGTAGAAATTGATTCTTTTCTTCATAGAAGGTAACAAGCTCGTCAACACCATGGCTATAACAATTGTTTGTACTTTTTTTATGCTTCACCAGCAAAAACTGTTTAGCCTAATTTTCTTAGCTGAACCTTTAGCAGTCTGTGGGTTTTGCAGGACGCCTCATCAAAGTAACTCTTCAATCAACACTGCCCTTTTGTCAACAATGAGCAACACCTCTATTGCTAGAATCTGCTGCAGACTTCCTAGATCAAATGCAAGGCTGTTCTCAAAACGAAAGCAATGGAATGGTTCAAGAACCTTTTCAACAAGCATCTCACCGCCTAAATCCGTAACCAACCCACTGCTCATCCGTTTACCCTCAGCTTTGATTGTAGCTTCCCAGGTCACCCCATCGGATGCCCCTCAGCGTTCAGAAGAATGGTTTGCGCTAAGGAGAGACAAGCTGACTACTAGCACATTCAGCACAGCCTTGGGCTTCTGGAAAGGAAACCGCCGCTTTGAGCTATGGCATGAGAAAGTGTTTCCTTCAGAGATTAAAAAACCAGAAGCACGACAGCAGTATGCCATGGAGTGGGGTGTGCTGAATGAAGAAAATGCCATCCATCGGTATAAAAGCATCACAGGCCGAGATGTGAGCTTTTTAGGATTTGCAACTCACTCTGAACAGCAGTTGGACTGGCTAGGCGCGTCCCCCGACGGCCTATTGGGATGCTTTCAAGGAGGTGGGATCCTGGAAGTCAAATGTCCGTACAACAAGGGAAAGCCCGAAAAGGGACTGCCCTGGTCGACCATGCCTTTCTATTACATGCCACAGGTACAGGGTCAGTTGGAGATAATGGACAGGGAGTGGGCGGATTTGTATTGCTGGACACCAAATGGAAGCACGATATTTCGCGTTTGTAGAGAACGTGGTTACTGGGAATTGATTCATGAAATGTTAAGGGAATTTTGGTGGGAAAATGTTGTTCCTGCAAGGGAGGCTTTATCATCGGGAAGAGAGAAGGAGGTCGAGTCCTATAAGCCAACATCCACACACAAGCAGACTGGAGTTGCAATTGCTAAGAGCATAAAGTTAGCAAGCGACGCCAAATTGCTTTGCAGGGAGATAGCTGGGCATGTTGAATTTTACCGATGATTTTTGGTTTGAATGTGATGTATTGTTCCTTCTGTCTTGGAATTCCATTTCCCAACATGTATTTGTTCCATGATTTCATGGGTGGTAATATTTAACACACATTCAATTTTAGCCTATGATTGGTATGAGCCGCCCTCTCTTTGGTGTCTGCATTGATGTTCATGATGACAATGGCATTCAAAATCTGGTTAACATCTAAAAAGCATTTCTGTAAACAGGCCAAAGGATGTTCAATTATATAATCAAAACAATAAGAAACAGGCCTGAGAACGTTTATTTTTGGTGATAATTAGGCTAGAACTGAACTAGCCAAGAGGAAGTACACAACTTCCACATATACAATTAACATTTATTGTTTATTTCATCCCCCTGTCCAGATCCACAGGTAGTCCAACACAAGCAAAAGTACCGCAGGATGACGAAAGGAGGATATACGAGAATCAAATCAAAATGTTGAGATGTGTTCTATCGAGCAGCTTGGAAGGGTGCCGAAGCAACTTCGATAAACAGCGTAAAGCACCTGAGAATGTACAAGGCCAAGAAGAAATTCCATCCACGGCCAGCTTTATTCATGAAGATACCAAGACTATAACAGAGACGCCAAACTTCCCACATACCATGCAGATACCAGAAACTCAGGATATTGGACCGATATCAGCTTGTGTTCCGTTTTCTGATAGCCTCAGTGCTGAGCTTAGTCAGGGCAGAGTACATCCTTGGAGAATAGAGACACCATTCATTATTAATGGTACGATTAAGATCCTAGATCCACACAGAGGTCTTCATCCAAGCTTGATCAACAGTATATACACATCAAACAGCGATAGTAAAAAGTCTTAGACGGTTCGTCTTATTCCTTGCCTCACTAATTTGATTTGCTACTTATTCTCTTAAAGTACCATTCAACACTGGATATATATATATAGATTTTTTTTTGGCTTTTTGTCTTTGCCCCCTTCAACTCTTGATATGATTAACATGGCAGCTGCCAGAAAGAGAACCTGAAGGAAGCTCTTTTTTTGTGGTTTTTTCTTTTTTCTTTCTTTTTTTTTTTCCCCATGAAGTGCACGTTGCCCTTCTAGCCATGTAGAAAAAAGCCATCTTCCTGTTCCCCAGGCGCAGATTGATCCCTGCAATCCTGTTTCTCTCTACACTTCAGTAATGGCTTCCAGCAATCTGAGCAAAGCAATTCCAAAGTAAATGTTTCCACATACTCATTCTCATTAACACATCGACCACACTGGACACACCGCGGTATACAAAGGGTGCAAGCCCTACATGCCTGAGTTGCAAGTCCGCTTCCCTGACAACCATCTGCTGGGCAATCATAGACAAGCCTCGGGTTTTCGCATCTTGGACAAATTTCAATATCAATAGCGCGTTCATCATCACAAGACACATAAAAGTTTCCCCTGTGATAAAAATGTGGCTTATAAGAACTTTCCTGCATGAGGTTGCAGTCACTTCCCAATAAGAACTTCAACTCTTTAAAATGTTCTTGTGTCACCCCATATAATCCACCAATTCTTAGACGTTTCACTCCGTGGGTACTTGTCAACTTGAAAGCCCTCAAGCTACTAATAACTCCTTCAATACTGAGTCTAGTACATCCAGGAACAGACAACTGCATAAACATGCAAAGGACAAATATTTTAGTAACATGCTCGGTCAGTAAATGATAGCATGATGTAGTGCTAAGAAATAAGTTGCATATTCACACTTTGCACAAAATAGTGCCCCTGGTGGAAACTATCTTTTTGCCAAGTGTTAGGATCAAAAGCATGTCAAAGATAAATCTTGTTGACATGTCCTAAGAATATCCCTGTACCAATTTTAAAAACACTAATGCGAATGCTGACATGAGCAACTTTGTGGCTTTTAGCATAAGACATCCTAACTAACCTAGATTAGTAATTCCAGTTCAATGTGTCAATAAAGAAACTTCTGTTTCGAAATAACATCATTAGGAAACTCAGGAAATGTTCAAATTCACAAAAGAAACCTAAATAACAGAAAGTAAAAAGTATGTACAAGGCTTTCTAGCAGTGATTCATAACATCAAGCTAGGTAGGTAACATATCCAAGTGCCAATATAAAGGAAAATGAACTGTGAATCTGAATGTAAATGGATTATGCAAAGACAGGAATTTCAAGTTAAACAACGAGACAATTCAGCTAATTATGAAAGAGCAAAAAATGGAAGAAGTTATGCGTACTTTTGTCAGCCTAGGATTGCTTTCAAGCACGCACTTCAGGCCCTCGTCTGTAATTCTTGGGCATTCCACCAGACTCAAGCATTGCAGGTTACCTAGAGCCCTGTTAGTTAATTGCAAAAGAATGTCATTACTTATCTTTTCGTTCAATGGTTGATCTATGTGAATGTTCGTCCATAAAAGGGGGTCCCCCTGTACGACTGAATGCAGAGATCGGCAAACCCTTCCAATAGAGCAGAGATCCTGAATGCCTAAATAATAAAGAGCAAAGCTTAAGCCTTCATGAGGAGCTCCTCCATCTACCTCCCAATAGATGCAATTCTGGTCCTGACATTCTGCAACCTGCTGCTCACAATAGGTAGGAGGATCGTCATTAGCAGAAGATACTTCAGTCACACTACAAATGGATCCAAAATCACAACAGCAGGTCACATCGCCAGTTTCCTTTCCATCCAGACACCCATCACAGCTACACATCGGATTAGGCTTCTGAACAATTCTTTTAATCTCAGGAAAGGCTTGGAACTTCAGAGCGTTGTTCCAAATAAAATTCAGACCTGCAAATAATTCGGCGTTCCCTTCGCCAGCACCACCCCTGTCGCTGACACACTCAGCATAGTCCACTTCCATGTCCTCAAGCCATCCTGTAATTGCTGTAAAAGTGGTACTTATATCCATGCCAAATGGATCAGCAGGTAAAACATCAAGAATGTCCTCGGTGCCAGGGCCCTGCGAGCTATCTGAACATATATCCTTTCCACGATCAAAACAAGCATCCACCTCCCGGCCAAGATGCCATAGCTTTCCACAGCTTTCGGCATTGTTCTCATGAATGCCATCAACAATATAACCATTGGCAATCCTCATTGGAGAAACTAAATTGTCCTCAGAATGGTGCAAGGGAAAGATAGGACGACAAGAGAAATTAAGAGCCATCACGGATCCTACCTACCCCAACCTAAATCTACAACCCTAAATTCCCAAAATTCTCCAAGAAAAAACTACGAAAAAAAGGCGAAAGGCATGGGAAATGAAATAGAAGGGGGAGACAAAAAGAAAAGTGATAAATAATTACAAGAAACCCCTAATATGGATGGCAGACTAAAACAACGCACCAGAAATTTAGAGTTTCTTGCGGGGGAAAAAAAAAAAAAAAAACAAAAACTTTCTTAGCTCGATCAAAAATTGGGGGAGGGGGAACGATGATCAATCGCGTCGAAAGTATCTACATAATAAGAAACAACGACAATTTCTTTCGCTTTTGAAATTAACTCAAACTAATTCAACTATTAATCGTTTTCGTTTTTTCTATATTCACCTAAATTCCTCAATCAGAAGTAGTTAGAGGCAAATAAACCAGCAGATTCGAAAAGAAGAAGAAAAAAAAAAAAAAAACAAACAATCAAACGTAACCGGAGCGGTTGAAGAAAGAGTAGGACATGAAAAACCTTAGAATGTGATGAGCAAAGAGAAGAAAAAACAAAGTGATGAAGAACGATACCCTATGAAGAACAGATGAAGTAATCGAGAAACAAAGTATGGATCTCTTGGAATCGAATCCTCGGCAATGAAGATTTTCTCTGGATGGGAATTTTAGACGGAAAAAGAGAAAAACGATTATCTTTCTCGAGAGGAAATTCGACTCCAAGAGAGAGAGAGCGAGCGAGCGCGGAGGGTAAGGAACCTGGCGATCGAGTTCAGAGAGAGAAAGTGCAGGAAAGTGCGATAAAACAAAACAAAAGGTTAAATTATAAGGCTCTCTACAACGTGAAAAGCGTCAAAAATCTCTTCTTTTTTCTTTTCTTCTTAATATTATTCTTAATATAACAAATATCTAATAAAATACACATATTGAAAATAATTTAATATATATATATATAGATTAATTTTGAGATTTATTAAAATTATATAATTTAAATGTTTGGAAGTAGGTAGATTAAAGTGTAAAAATAGGGCTTTAATTTTTAAATAAATAAAAAAATTATAGAGAGGCGAAACCGAAGTGTAACGGTGAATCGTCCGCATTGAAAGAGAGAGTCAAAGAGCAAATGACACGTGTTGGTTGAATGCCAGTGGTTGCGTTGTGGCGGGAGCGGGAATCTAATACGTTGCAGCTTTGATTTCAACAACGATGCTCTTACGGCCGTTGGATGTTGATCAGACCGATGGCATTGACTTTAGCAGTGTGATGTGGGCCCGTTGGAGTTGATGAGGTTTGGGTTTTGAGTTGAATTTGTTTGATCGGACGGTTCAAAATTGTAGTTTTGGATTTCTCGCTTCAAACTTTCGCGTGTTGGTTGCGATAAAAACTCCATTGAAAACAATAATAATAATATTTTGTTTCTGAATTTTAAGTTGATGATATTAAGAATTTAGGAGTCTTTAAGAAAATACATTAAAATATTATAAAAATAGTCTGACCAAATCAAACTTAAACTCAAATATAATATAAAATATAGGAACAAACACCATATTAGCAATTAATTGGATCCTAATTCATTTACTCTCCTATAACCGTTGGAGTCACTCCCCCTGTCCTCTACCTACCAATGGGAGAGAGAACTGTGACGCCCTTTTTCAAATTAAAAAAAAAAAAAAAAAAATCTTTATATTTCATATTTTGGTGTTAGCTAAACAGTATTTTTTTAAATTGTCCCATTTTTTTATTTCAGAATTTACAAATGGTCCCTAAGCATTAAGTATTTTTGTAGATTTCACATTTAATTTAAAAATGAGATATTTTGAAGTATGAGAATAGAAATGACGTTAGCATGAAGCCATAGGAATTCCTTTCATGGCAGTTGAAGACAATTTATTTTTATATTTTTTTTTTCTTTAGTATATTCTTGTTTAATTCAATGTTGAGGCAAAAATTGTTGGAGCGACAAAACAATTTCCCTTTTT